AGGGACTGGCAAAGGGTTTAATCTGAACTCACTTACCAGCAGCAGTTGCTGTAGCTGGTGATCTGGGTGAAATCGAGAAGCAAATGATTGACCCTTGCAGTTTATGGAGGTGAAATTGGTCTGCAAGTAAAGTGTGTGTAGTGAAAACAATTTCTGCAACGTTGTGATTTTTGCAACTTCCCTTAATGCTCTGTGCATAAGCTAAAGGGAGGGAGGGAGGGAGGGAAACTCCTGCTTTTCTGCTTCCCCAACTAAACAAATCATTTTGAAAACCAAGAAGCAATTGGCTTGTTGCATTCTGCAATCACCTTGTTGCCTTGGGACCACCACCAGGAAAGGATTTAGGCTTGGATTTGCCAGGAGAATAAAACTAACACCAGTAACTTTCCCACATGCCTGCATGCATGGAAGCAGCCCCTCTTTCCCTAGTCTCTTCCCTCTCTGGTCAAAATCCAGCGGGATTGAAGACTCGGTTGTTTTGGTTTTGCATGTTCCTCTGGTTTTGTTCCTTATTTTTGGTTGTTGATGTTTGCTTCTTCTGTGTGCGTTCTGAAGGCTCCCTACCTATTCTTTCTCACCTGCATATATTTACCGCTCATGGAGACTTTCCATAGGTATGGCTGATACGTGTTTCAAATGGTGACGCTGTAGGTCACAATCTAGTCCAGTTTACATGATGGTCAGAGATTGCAGGAATCAGCTGCTTCCTTGTTCACATGTTGCAGAAATTACCGTAGACTGCAGTTGTATTCTCTGAGCACAGCAAGGATGCAGGATCTTTCTTCAGTGCCAGCTGGGCAAGAATTTAAGCTCATAGTCTGAAGTGGTTGTCTAGTAACCAGTCTGAACTGCATTTCAGGGGTGGGCTGAAGAAACACATTTCATGGGAGTGGAGAAGAGATGTGATCAAAAGTCCATGTCATCCGCACTGCTGTTACTACTTCCGGCATGCGTTCAGTGCCCTGTGGCTAGGGGAAGAGGTTGTGCTGCTCTTTCCTATTCTCTTCTCTCCCTACCTCAAGTTTTCAGTACATTTGAAAAAGTAATGGCTCAGAGCACTGTTCTCAGCTACCCTCACATCATGTGTAGGAGCTAACAGGTGGTGATTTAGGCTTCCAGAGCTTGCAGAACTGTTTCTTATTTCAGGTACGGTTGTTCAGATTCATTTTCAGTTACAGCTGAAACCCAAAGAATGGATCTCTGAGCTTAACACTGCATTACCGGTGATGTGTACCCTGACAGGGCACTGCCATCAGACGTAAGGCTTCGCTTCATGCATGTCCTGTGCTGTATTCTTACCAGCGCAAAGCATTGGCTTCTTTCTTTCTCGAAGCTACAGACTTGGTTGCCAGAGCAGAAGGACCACGCAGTAACATGCAGATGACTCCTGGGACCTGCACTGTAAGCCAGTGTAGTGCAGCATTTAGGTAGCCCTCCTGGAAGGCAGTAAGGTGATTGTGCTGCGTGCTAGAAAGGTAGGAGCTGTGAGGCTGGAGCCACCTAGTCCCAATGTCTTGCATCAAATACTGGCCAGGGAGATGTTTCTGACCTAAAATCTGATATTAAGCAAATCAATGCAGCAGGAGTCTTCCCTGATGTCAGTATTGTTTTTTGAGAAGCCAGCGATGAGGAATGTGGGGAGGTATCTGGACAGATGAGTGATGAAGAGCTTTTGAGTCTGGATGGTTTTTTTCTTGCAGCTCTTTGTGGTTGTAAAGAGAAAGAAAGAAAGAAGAGTTAACGGAAAGAAAAAGTAAATTCCCAGAGGCACAGAAGATGTGACTGAGAAAACAGACCTAGTTTCCTAAAAGGCACTAAAGAGATTGAAGGCTATTTAATTCACAGCTCATCATTTCTGGGAAATGGCACCTTTGGAAGAGCCTTAATAGCATGGATGAATTTTCTTTCAAAATATAGGACTTCATGAGCTCTCTTGAATTCAGCTCCGGAGAAGGTTTGCTCAGAAATAAATTGCAAGACGCAGGCAGTGCGCCATGTATGTCTGTTAGCTTTTCTCTTAGGTAAAGCACTTGTTTGGTTTCCTTTTTTCTTTCCTGAAGAGCATACTATGGGTGAAGTTTAAATCAGTAGAAGTGGTCATGTTCTAAGCAAGTATGTGGTGTGGCTGAAGCCTGTAAAACTTTACATCTCTGAGTAACATCTGTGTCATTTCTCAAGGAGAATAAAGCACAGAGGTAAAAAATCTAAGTTATTTATCTTCTGTCCTCCAGGGGACTCCACCTGCGTTATATGATGCTCTCACTGCTGGGTTGAATGAAGTGCCGTCTGGCTCTGACGTTATCACCCGGCATTGTCGCACCATAGAATGAGAACACAAGATCCTGCATCCTTCCTCCTGCAGCAGAGTGAATTCTGAGCAGATAGGTGTTCCGTAAAATGATTACACAGAGGAGGTCTGGCATACTTGGAGCTATCTGCTCTCAGAAAGCTAAGCAGCAGCGTCACAGGGGGGATTCTCATGTTTTATGAGTGGAATAGACAGATTTCTGCAATATGTCCAGTTAGCCCAGTGTAAATGGGAGATCCGCAGGCACGTAGCACACCTTTGTAATGCACTTTTGCTTTTCAGCCTCCATTCTGTAGGGAGGATGCATGTTGTGAGCATGGGTTTCTCCTCTAACCTCCTGATGACAACCTTTTCTCTTCAGCTACTGACAGTTTGACTCATTATAGGGTTGCTGGTTCTGCTGGACTAAACTTCTCCCACTAAACTTCTTCCTTTGTTTGAAAATACACTAACCCATTTTTAATTTTACAGCCCTGTCTGGATGACATCTTCCTGCTTAAGATAAATGCCATGTATTTATGGAGCTCAAATCAAAGTATTCTTCAGCAGGGCTTGCACTGTTTTGTCTCTTGGGTTTCAGTGATTAGGAGTGGTCCATATTTTCCTATTTGAAGGGAAGGTTTCTCGGAGCAGAAGTGCATTTAAACTCTTGGAGGAAAAAGAAATTGGGAGCTAGAAACTAGACAATTCAAAGTTGTCATGGCTATTTAATGATTGGAATGGCTGTGTATAAGGTGAAGCAGCACCTCTGACATTTAAAATCTGTCAAGAGTGGCCATCTTTTCAAAGGATGTTCCTTCACATTTTAGTCTTGGGGCTCAATCACTGGGGAAAAAAGCATAGCCTTAATCAGATAAGAGGTCAAATTCTCTAAGTACAGTGTTCCCTTCTCTCTTCAAGATCTCTTTCTCATTACTAATTATCTCTCTGAGGTGAGAATGTGGTAGCTGCAAGGGCGACTCTGTACTCACCTTGAGAGCATTACCTTTGTGTTTCCAATGTACAGTCACCGAGAAGACTGATGGGGTGAAATACAGCTCTTGAGTGTCCACTTCCTATCGTGGGAGTCTTGCAGTGAGGGTATAAGCAGAGGCAAGGGTTTTGAAAAGAAAAATTTAACATGGGAAAAAGGAGCAGAGACCCTCTTATGTCTTTAAGAGAAGTTACTATGTTGTGAAACACGTGTATCTCACAGCAAAGAGCTCTGTGTATCCATGGATTGTAATTACTGTCTTAGAACTGAGAGCATGTTAGAGCATGTGTTAGGCTGCCAGATAATTGAATTAATTGTAAATTACTGTTTCAGTCTAGGTCCTGCAGTTTCCTTGTTGATGTTTCACCCAAAAAAACCTGCTTGAATTCTTTTGTTGGAGGAGAAGGGGAAGGGAAAAGGTTTCAAATTAGTTCCTAACGTCAGCTTTGAAAGATACTGATGATTAACCTTTTTCTGGCCAGCTGGAAATGCATATGCTCTCCACTGATCGCTGAATACAATTTATTGTCACTTTTGAAAAGAGACCAGTGCTCTTTCAAGTTCTCTTGCTAATTTGATACTTAACATTGTCAGGGGCAGGAGCTTGTTTAGTTGATAGGTTTCTTTTTCCACAAAAACAAATAAATGGGAAATAACGCTGCTTGCACAGTAACTTCACAGGCTGTTGGAGCACTTTGGAAACAAATGATCCCGGGGTAATATGAAAGTGGAAGGAGAAAGCATGTTTCTTGAGCAAGTGTTTGGAGAAATGCTGCAGTATTTTTGAAGAGGGGTGGAGTGGTGGCGTGAATATGTAATTGGACAGTCTGTGGATTCAACTTGTGTTAGGAGAGGTGTTACGGGAAAGGTGCAAGAAAGAAGTACTTGAATTTGGATTGGGGAACTGTCTTCTGCTGATTGTGTGTGCAAGTTATGGAGGAATTGGCAAGGAAAGGTAGTGGTGGGGACATGGGTGTGGAAGGTTGTGGCTGTAAATCAGTGTGCCCTGCAGAGACAAAGGACATTTTGGTTTTCTGCTGATGTCAGGGGTACGAATTGGGAAATGACAGCTTTTTCTTTCAGAAATGATTATTACAGAAGAGCGAAGGGGTCTGGTTCTCTCCAGCCTGTATTCATTGTGATTAGCTACAGTGGTGCAGGCTGAGTGAAAAGCTGGGCTGCTGTGGTTCAGTGCCGCACACTGAAGGGAGCACACCAGGGCATCTCTGGTCCAGCAGCTATGACATTGCAAGATTCCAAGTACAAGTGCTGGGTTGTACGACAAGCGTGATGTCCCTTTTCAGTGACGTTCTTTACATCTGTGTTTCACAGGAACAGCCTGCCTGTTTGCCACATACCCTATCTTGACATCTTCCAGGCGTTCACATCAGTGTTTTACAACAAAAATGTGGAGAAACTGGTCATGACTCTAGGATATTCTTGGGGAACGGCGGAGTCTTTTTTTACTTAGTCTTTAACTCCATTCTGGCACACACAAAAATGGTAACTTGTATTGGTGAAAACAAACTATCCAGTGCAAGGAACGCTTGAGTCTTGCTCATATTCAGACCCTACACACACGGTGTCCTCTGTGTCTGGGTCAGAGTGAGGCCGATACCCTGGCAGCTGAGTAAAATGCAGTATTTTTCTGATTTTGATGAGTACTTTTTCCCTAATTATTTTTTTTAACAAATAAACATAAATCCACCATTGTTTCAGGGGAACCCAGCGCACCCAAACTGGAAGGTCAGATGGGAGAAGATGGAAACTCCATTAAAGTGAATGTAATCAAGCAGGATGATGGTGGCTCCCCGATTAGACATTATCTGATCAAATACAAAGCTGTAAGTATGACTGGTGCTCAAGCCTGATTTGCATTTAACCTGTTCAGTACTCAGGCTTCACTAGGTAGGCGGGTGACCCTGAAGCTAAGATCTTCAGGTAGGCCAGGGTGGGAATACACGCTAAGCAGATCTGGTGGGAGTGTGTAGTGTATGAGACGTGACATGCATAGAAGCAATGTAGAAAATCTTTGTCTCATTCTCTTTCCTTTCACTTTGACTGTTGAAGATTATTTCTTCATGGTGTGTTCCGTAGAACTGTGAGCCACGTGGTAATTACATACACTTAGTATTGTTTCCTTTCATATACTTCTGAGATGGGATTGCCAGCAACAACTTAAAAAAGTGCGAACCAGACCTCCATAGTGTAGAGCATTGTCCACCTTCAGACATGTCTAATCATACCTTTCCACTAGTTGATGAAACTGCCGTGTTTGATTGAGTAGTGGGTGCTTCAGTACCAAATTATTCTGCAGATTGACTAAGGCATTCAGGATAGACACAGATGAAGTGAGAGATGCTGTCGGAAGCAGTTCCCCTTTAGGCCTGACTTGATCTGCTTTCGATGTAAATTACCCAGGATTGCAAAATACACAATTCTCTGAGCAAGACGTCTAGCCCTGGTCTAAGGAAACAAGATCGATGTGATGAGCAGCTAGTATTGTTGCAAGATGAACACGACCCTTGCTTTGGGTTAGGTGGTATTTAATGTTTCTTTCTTATAAAGAACACTTGGTCAGGAAGATGGCTTAGCGCATCCTTGAGGAACAGGATCTGGAGAGAACAGGGTCAGTGAGAATATGAAGCTGTTCCAGGCAGCAGAAGGAATTGACAGAAGTTATTTGATTTTTTATTTTTTTTTTTCTGTTGCGTGCACATTTTGACAGTCTTAATACACCTGGGGGCAGCTCAATTTCTCCAGTGTGTTCGAGTTGAAATACGGGAACTTTCCAGCTATTAAGAAGGCAGGACACTTTGGCAGGGACTGAGTCTGGCAGGTGTGCTGCTGAACTCACTCTGTATTGCCTGTTAGTAATCTTTTCTTTATTTGCTACAAGTGAACCATCCTTCACATAAAGTCATGGAGCAAACTTTGCAGCCCTCTCCTGCCCTCTCCACTTGGAGCCAACAGCACCTAATGGTTTGCACCCCTGAGTTACCTGAGGAGCTTGTGTAGAAACGTCTCAACTATTCCATGTGTTAGTTAGTTATTAGAGTGTTCTCAAAGCTGGCTGCTAATGTTGTGCTGTGTGTTCTGTGTCCCTGCCTGTTACCACGCTGCTCTGCAGAAGCATTCCTCAGAATGGAAACCAGAGATCAGACTTCCGTCTGGCAGTGACCACGTCATGCTCAAGGCCCTGGACTGGAATGCGGAGTATGAGGTTTATGTGATCGCTGAAAACCAGCAAGGGAAGTCCAAGCCAGCTCACTTTGCTTTCCGAACTTCTGCTCAGCCCACTGTCATCCCAGGTACAGCCGTCATAAGCTTTACCATTGTTTTCTGCTTCCGATTAATGCAACAGTGCTGCTTCCTTTAATGTGCCTGAGTAACCCCAACAACTTGCTTGCTTAAAGCCATTATCACGATTGGTTACCCATTCAAAGCTTAGGTTTTGCCATGTACATACCTGTACTGTAGTCCGTGTTACAGTATGTACAGCATTAACAGTGCACTCCTAGGAATGCTACATGACAAATCCTTGTCTGGCTCTTTACAGGGAGTGCTGGCTTTTTGTGTGAGGGTAATGGGGTGGCCAGGTGAGGAAAGCAATGGATAGAAAATGCTTTCTGAAACCAGAAAGTAGGATTCTTGTTTTAAACTAAAGCAAAAGAGACCCTGCAGACCTCTAGGGTGATGCTTTGGGCTTGCTTACTGCTCGTTTCTCCATCCAGCTCAGCCCCTGGAGAAACAAAGGTGTAAGGAGTTTGCTAGTGATTGGAAAGGGAGAGGGCTCTAAAATCTTTCTCTGAAGGTTTCTTCTTAAATGAAATGGAGATCAAATTACAGGAATATTAAAACAGCACTGGTTTAATGTTGGGTAGGGCACGAGGAAAGAAGTAACCAAATAGCATCAGAATGCTGCTGGAATCTTGAGTTTCAGACAGACTGTACTTACTAGCATGCTTAAAAAGTGAGGTAGGAGCACAAATGGTACAAAACCCAAGCAGACCTTATTAGCTGAGATATTAGGAATTTAGCAGTTTGCTGGAAGGTGTTGAAAGGACAGTTAATGTCTTTCCTAGAGAGGTGTAGTAGTACTGCATATTACAAGGATGAAGTTGCTGGACTACCTGTAAATTTAAGTCCTGATTAATTCAAGGCAGATGGAGCCACTTCAAAGCTGATGAGTTAGTCAAGATAAGTCCTCACTGCACAGCCGGAGTTAAGCACATTCACCGAGTCACAGGATGTGTGGGGTTGCAGGGCACCTTGAAAGATCATCTAGCCCAACATGCTGACAGTCCATATTGAAGGGAGCGATTTGATTTCACTCTCTCTTCTAGATCGATGACTTGGTCTCATGTTTTTCTTCAGAACAGCTAGAGAGTTTTCTTCAGTCCTTCCTCTGCACAGAGAATTCAATCCTTGGTCTGCTCCCACTGTGCCCACTCCCTTCCTGTCTGAAGGAAACAAGCAGTTTGCATGCTGAAACTCCGCTTGATTAAGCCAGATAACGTTACTGAGTACACAAATGAGTGACCTAGCTGGTTGGGACTTGAAAAATGGGTAAGGTAGGAAGGATAAGGATAGGGAGGAGGAGGGAGATGGGGCAAAAGAGGGATTGGGATGTGTGTTTGAACAAGGCTGTAGTTTTGGGTGGGGAGACCCTCAGTAACTCATTAAGTAACTTACTGATTCTCATTTTCAACAGCTCTAATACTTACTGCTCTCACATATTTGAAGGACAGCTGTGACTGATGTGGCAGGAGAAAGTGAGGGTAATGGGAAAAAGCGCCTTAGTGTTCAGAGCTGAACAGTTGAATGCAGTAGGCGGCACATGGCAGAAAGTGGCTCCTTCGCACTGTGATGTATCTCCCTGGGGAAGGTTACGGGTGCTGATCAATCTTTTTGTTCCCCACAGTCCTTTGTGTGCAGCCGTTGTTGCCTTCCTGTGCTATAACTCTTTAGCCTTTGTTACACGCCCACTGGGACCACAAAGCTACCTGGGACAGCCGGGATGTCTTTCACGGGTGTAGGAGCAAACTTTGAGAACTCTATTGCCTTTCCAATACACAGTATTCCTGCT